CATGTAACATTCTCACTGAAGCTGCTCTGACCATTCCTTTTAAAATTATATCCTACCTCCCCGTTCCTGACCCCTCACACCCTGCTTTTTCCCTCACGGAACTTATCTAACAAACTATGTAATTTGGTTATTTATTGTTCTCACTGTCTCTCTCTTCCTCCCACTAGACTGTGTGCTACATGAAAATAGAGATTGTGCTTGTTCTCTTTACTGATACTGGCACAGGGCAGACCCTCAGTAGATTATTTGTTGAACGAATGAATGACCCTAAATTGTGTTTTCCCCTTTCACTTCTTCGTAACAAAAAGGGAAGAATATTTGGAGAATGAATGAAGAGAGATAAAGATATGAATGAGGTTTAAGTCTTTTTGAAGATGAGCTATTAGCTAGTCTGATCACAATTATTCATACAGATGAAAGTAGTAGTACAGAAAATCCTAAAATACAGATAGTCCAATATTTCTATTTTGGTTATATTATGTGATATTATGGTTGACTGTCTTTCCTGATTATTTTTTCTTAAGGTGGCAGCATGACTACCAGCTGTGTGTGTGTGTATGTGTGTGTGTGTATAAGTGTGTAGGCATACACACGTGAGGTAGTGAGGGTACATTGGGAAATTACCTAAAAATAATCACAAACTGGGTACTTTCATTCCCACAAAACATTCCCCTAATACATTTCATGCATAAGACTTGCTAAGTATCAAGTTCAAAGACTGCTGGCTATGTGAACATGATCTTCCAAGAGCTTCAGAAAACATATAAACAGCTCATTGAAAGTTGACCAGAGCCTGAACTGTCCATGTATAAGAGTTCTGTGGGCATCATGGTTGGCTGGTTGTCTTCTAGACTCCCAACTCAACCCATTTTGTGTAACAGCTGAACAGTCAAACGAGACAGATTAGTACCCACTGAAGCTGGTCCCGATGATCCCTTAAGAGATAAGCAAAAGAGCCACTGGGATTCAGAATGATGCTCAGATACTTTCCACCCCTGTAGGAAGAGATGTTCTCTCTCTCCTTACAATGTGAAATAAAAAGCTGGCAGGCTTGCTACCATTAAAGAGGCTAGCTTGAGGTCAAAGCAGACAGAAGAGGGCAGAACTGAGAGAACCAGAGCAGCAGAGCCATTGTGCTATTGACTTTGAGAACCTCTGGATCAAACCCTACCTGATGCTTGCCCCACTTCTGGACTTCATGTAAGTCCGAGACAATTAATCCACTAGCTGATATAAACTGGGGTGTCTTTTACTTGTAATGAAAGGCATCCTAATACAGTGCTCCTCACTTTCTTTCAGGCCAGCCCCTCTGCTTCTCACTGCTCCCGAGTGTGGATGACATGTGGGCCCTTTGTGCAGTCAGCATTATGGGCATGCATACACAGATGCATTTCAGAATCCTAAGGCAGTGAACTGTTTTGGTTCACATCCATGTGATGTTCCATTTTTCTGGCATTAAGTGAAGATAATAGAGTGCCTCACATGAATGCCAAAAGTCTTTTAAAAAGTAGCAGGGGGCTTCTCAGACCTACCTATGTATCCTTTTTCTCAAGTTGCATTCCTAAAGCTTTGCTGCTGAACATGCTTTTCAAATGCCTACTTGAACACCTGGAGAACTCTGAGGCTGAGCTCCTTCTCCTGATGGCCAGGCCCAGCATTGGCCTGAGGCCTGAGGGCAGTGCTATCCAGGGGACAGTGAGCCCAGAAAGGTCACGTGTGAAGAAACTCTCCAACAAGCCGTTCCTTATTTATTAGATGCCAAATACATGGGACCAGGACAGAAGAATCCTAGGGCATTTGATTTACACGGGGTGGGGGTGGGGGTCTGGGAGAGAACACACACAGAGGCAAATACGTACAGAGGGAGATGCAATGAGGGGCTGCCATTTTAAAAATATATATACATCTTAAGAAGCCATTCCAGCCGTTTTATCATTATCAGAAAATAAAACAATCTTTCCACATCGTGCTTTTCTTTGGTGCTGTTCCGTGGGCATGGGCCTCTGTGTTCTTGGTTTGTCTCCCCCGCCCCCCTGCCCCCCCTTCTCCCACCTGCACAGGGGGAGGGGAGGGTCTGGAGGAGGGGAGGGAGGCCCCTGCCTGGTCTCCCCACCAATACCCTGCTCCGGTCTTGAGATCTTCCTACTCGTTTCTTCAATCATGGCCTGGGAAGTTTCCTGGATGCCAAAACTGGGGCCACTCCCCAGGTCCACGTGTGACAAAACCAGCCCAGCAGCTGTAGAAAGGGTAGGGACACGGGGATTAGCCACCACCACCCAGCCAATACCACCTCCTCCACGGTTGGATTTTTACGTTTTATTTCTCGGTTCATTTCAATGACCTGTATCATGAGAGTACAAGTGAGAAGGGCGCAATTTCCTCTTTACAGATTTGCCAGGAACAGCAGATTTGTGGGGGGGGGGGTGTGAGTTCCATCCCGTTTTGGGGGCGGGGTGGGTGTCCTAAATTCTCGCTTCACCATCCCCCACTAAGTCAGGGCCCCCTCTTCCTGGGTGGCTCCAAAGCTGGCGAGGCCTCCAGCCAAGAAGTTGGCCTACATTTTTTCTTTGCATGTCCAGCGGCTCCATTAGTACACACCAGGGCCTTTCCCAGCTGCCAGGGATCCCATTGTGCTGGATCCAACTCCCGTGGCTACCGGGGTTTCAGGATACGAGCAGCGTCCAGCTCCCTGGCACAGAGCCATCGGGCTTGCCACCTCCTCCTCACTGCTAGGAGGCGGCTCAGACGGCAGGACACTTGCAGAAGCCCCGGATCTATCCACACATGTGTACACAATACCCAGCCACCCCCAACCAGTTGTACCAGGAGCCGAGATGCTTCTCCTAAAAAGGATGGGCTGCAAACAGTAGCCGTGCATGGGCCCTGGCCTCATGCTCACACCGGGGTGCCACCTTCGGCACCCCCTCAAGCACACAGCACAGGAGGCGGCCGGGGGGAGGCTCCCAAAGGGCAGACCCCGGCTTCTCTCACCATGAGGGACCTCAAGTTCGGACCTTAGGGCATCGCTCCTACCAGTTGTCAGGCTGGGGGCTTTGCTCGGGTCCCTTGATGCTTCGATGCCTGCGTGCCCACCCAGATTGGGACTGCCCAGAGAGCTAGGGACGAAGCATCCTGGACAGTAATTCCAACACAGACCGTCAGTGGCTGTGGCCTTGCATTCCCCACAGGCTAACGGGACAGCACACTTCACTGGGCCGTGAGGCCTCTTGGAACACTTTATATGTTGCACATGAGGACATCAGAGAGCCCCTGGGCAGCTGCTGAGTCTTAGCCAACCTCAGGCCTGGGGTGACCTCAGCAAGTCCTAGCACAGTTCAGATGGTGGTGTCTGGGGACAGGGGATGGGGAGAGGCAGCAAGGCGAAACCAGCATCAGCTGCTCCCATGGAAGGCTGCAAGGCTGTGGGAGACGGCACCTGGCCCCCGGGTACCCGGCGATGGGCGGGCCGATCCGCCCGCCTCTCCACGTGCCAGGAGGTCAGGGGCCATGGGTGCAGATCCCCCAGAAGTGTCCCAGGCAGGGCTGCTCTGATCCCCACTTCGAAGGCAGCTGCTCGGAAGGGGCTTTCCCCAGCACGCCCAACCCCCCCCCTTCATCCTCAGGGGCCCCTGTGCGGCCATGGGCCAACCCGGGTGCAGCAGAGGGGGCGCTAAGGGCGCCCCGAGTGGGTTATGACTGACCCTCGAGGCCGCTCCCAGAAATCTGGTGACTGTCCCCATTTGCCTGGGACTGAGGGGTTTCCCGGGACACAACCTTTCAGTGGTAAAACCAGGAACATTCTGGGCAAACCGGGCTGGTTAGTCACCCAACACAGCAGCCAGGAAGAGGGGGGGTGGGGGGTGTCCTGCCACACAGCTGGGCCTCCTCAGTGCACTCGGGGAGCTATGTCACACCTTACCCCTCCTGTGACAGATCTGCCCAACCCTCTGGAATGCAGGGCATGGGGTGACCTAGTGTCTATTGCCCACAGAAGCCAGCCCTTCGGCAGGCTGGCAACTTCTCCTGAGCGCCCCATCTTCAGGGTTCCCCACCTGCTTATCTCGCTTCTGGGGCTTTCTGTGCTCAGCAAAAATTGGTTCGAACCTCTCCCCACCTTGCCCCAATCCTCCCAGGACTGCCAGCCTGGAAATCAGTGCCCAGGGTGCCCTCAGAGGGGGCCAGGCCCCTAGGCTCCCCAACTTCCCACAGGCCCACCTGCTCCGGACCTGCCCTGAAGGCTGACCGGGGGAAGGGGAGAAGCAAGCACAAGGGGGAGCTCTGGGGAATATTGCCTGGACCCTGCTCTTCTCGGAGCCAGCACTGTTCCCAGCTATGGACCTGAATTCACCTTGGCTGGCTGAACCCATTGAGTGAGCTCTGCGGTAGGGGCAGGACGTAGCAGGGATCTCTTGGGAGGGACGAGGAGAGGACCAAGACAGGTGGGCCTTGGCGCCGTGGTGACGGCAGGTGGGAGGGCACTGAGGGGTGGGTGCCCAGGAAGCAGCACAAGCTCCGGCAGCTGCGTGTGTGCCAGGCTGAAAGGCTGCAGGACAGGAGCCGCCTGGACTGGGGAAGGTGTGGGGCCTCTGGAGGGAACCCAAAGAACCTCAGAGTAGGCGGAGCCTCTGGAAGAAAGCACCTGCCCAATTTCCGGGTGGCACCCAGCCTGAATTGGGTGGGGTCCTGGGCGCTGAGCACTGCCCACCCAGTGCATAGGGTGGGGGGGGATGGGGGTGGGGCTAGGATATGCACTGCCAGCTCTTGGGGGTTCGGAGGGAGGGAGCGCTTCCTCGATGGTCTCCAGTCTCAAGGGAGTCAGCCCTGGCCCAGACCTCAGCACTGCCCATGGAGAAGGAAAAAACATACCAAAGAAAAAGCCAGTTACAGATGAGCCCACACCCTGCCCTCCCCTCCCTGTTCCCCTGCCCCGCTGCACTCGGGACTTGGTGCACAGCCCGGAGGCGAGCGCGCCCTTCCTCTGGGGCTGCTCGTGGCCATGATACAGGGCTTGAAGGGCGAGGCTGGTGGCCGCGGACATTCCGCGGTGGTCCGTCGGCCGGTGTGTCCGCGGGCGGGAGTCGGTCTGGGTGCCAGGCCATCAGACCTTGGCCTCCAGCATCTCCAGGAAGAGTTTGTGCATGGGCACCTTGCCCTGCAGTTTGACGCTGTAGAAGTGCTGCACGGCCTTGGCGGCCGTCTGTCGCAGCAGGGGCAGCGTCAGCAGCAGCTTGCCCGTCCGCCGGGGCTCCTCGTGGCGCTGGCTCAGCTCGTAGTCCTGCAGTGCCTCATGCAGCAGGTCCTGCAGCTTCTGCACCGCCTCCAGATCCTCGATGTACATGGAATCTGTGGGCACAGGGCGAGCGTCAGTGCACACGGCCGGACGCCCCTGGCACGGGGGGTGGGGGGAAACCCTGTGCTGTTGCCGCCCCCCAGACCCTCACTTTACAGAGAAGGGGACGGAGGCTCGCAGAGGCTAAACTGCCAGCCTGAGGTCACAGAGGCCCGTGACAGAGCTGAGGCTTGGAGCCAGGGAGCCATCTGTATCTCGGAAGGTCATCTCTTGGGAAACCACCGAGAGGCGGTAGTGGAGACCCTGAAGGACTTGACCAGGAGCAGACCGGTCACTGCCCTGGAGGTGCCAGGTGGACAGGGGAGCTGGAGTCCTGTGTCCTTCACTTGCCAGCTGTGTGACTTTAGGCAAGTTATTTAACTTCTCTGTGCCTTATTTTTCTCATTTGGTAAATGAGATAATGGCCACACCTACCTCAAGAGGTTAAATGAGTTAGTACAGGTCAAGAACTGAAACAGTACTTGTCCCCAAGGGATGCCTGGCTGGTGGCATCATGACCACCATCATCACTAGACTACTGTTGTTGCTGCCACCAGGCACCAGCTCGTCTCCGGGGCCATCACTGACCTGACAGAATGCTTACACAGAATGCAAACACAGACAACGGGGCTGAGCTCTGTGCCCAGGTGCCCTGTGGCCGGGGGCCTGGTGGGGGCCTGAGACAGCATGGCTGGATGCATGGGCCACAGTGATGACGGATGCTGTTGGGAGTCCTCTAAAAATCCCGAGGAGGGCTTTGGACTCAGGCATGAATTAGGGGTTCAAAAGTTACCTAAATCCAGCAGGACAGGCGGGCACCTGCTGACAGCTGGCTTACAGCGGGGGCTGAGCTGAAGCCAAGGCCATTTCCTGGCACCCAATCTGGGGGCTCAGGGAAAATAACCCGCCTTCTCCTGACATTCCTTAAAGAGCTTGAGTCACCACTCTGCACTACAGCACCCAATGCCCGCCTGCCAAAGGCGGGAAGGCAAGGGTGCCGTATGGGTCAAGTGAGCTGGAAGCTCTGGGCAGGCTGCCAAGGAAGGTGGGGCGAGGCTGCTGAGTTCCTCAAAAGAGCAGGGCAATGCCTTTGCGTGCCGGGTTAGCTTAGGCACCAAACCGCCAAGGGGAGCTGTTCTAACTGGCTGACCCCAGTGACTCCTGACCTCCTGCAGCCACACTCAGCCCCTGCCTCCAGGGTCCTGCCCCTTCCTCTTGGGAGAAAAGCCGAATGAGGAAGGTAAGACTCTGGAGTCTTAGATGCTGTGTTATTTTGGCCAAGTTACTTAGGCTCTCTGAGACTGTGTCCTCATTTCTGCAACAGAGCAAATGTCTCTATGCCTCATAGGGTAGTGGTGAGGATTAAAAGAAATAGTACATTACCAGGCACTTAGTAAGCACCTGATAAATGCAGTATTATCGTTACTGTGAGGACTCAGCCTGGGGCAAGTGGCTTTAGCGTGCTGGGGTGTTACTGGCCCCCTACCCAAGATGCCTCCACTGTTCTGCCCCTTGTTACCAAAGCAGCGAGGACTCCTTTGCCACTTGGAGAAGGAGCATAGCTCCATTCCTACACTCTCAGCTGGTTCCAGAATGTGTACCCAAGATGCGCCGGTCCCTCTAAGGCTAGGACGTGGCCATCCAAACTCCCTGCCTCCCGCCAGCTTCCTTGCCCCCTCCCCCAGCCCTCCCCAAGGAGGCCAAAATTGGCAGCTGCCTTCGACCAAAAATGAAATAAAATAACATTGCAAGATTAATTTCTTTGCAATCCATCAGCGAGTCTGTATCGATGGCATTGATAAACTGTTAATTACAAAATCAATGGCTATGAATTTTTTCTGCTGTCAGGGAGCCTTGGAGATGGCCGGGACTTAGGGTGAAAGACGGCCAGCAGGCTCCTGAGGGGCTGGGTTTTGGGGACCCAGCCTGTCTCTGACGTGCTTCACGCTTCTGCCTCGCATCAGCCCCCAGAGCCACCAGAGTGGTCCCGTCCCGTGTGCTCAAGCTCAGCAGTGGCACCCTCGGTGGCCCTGGGGCGGCCACTGGGCCCACACCAATGATCTCCAGGCGCCTGTCTCTCCTCCCGCTAACTCTGTCTGACTGGGTGACTTTCCTGTCTTGTTGCACCTCCTTTCACGGCCCCCTGGACCAATCCGATTACAAGTCAGTCCCTTCACAGCCCTAGAGCCTCTGGTCTGACCCCAACCCGCTTTTCTGGCCTTACCTGCAATAGGCCTATTCTTTCCCTACTTCCTGCCTGAGGCTGATCGCTCCACCTGCAGCCAGGGCCTGTGCGGCACAAACCCCGCCCCTTTTGGAACTACTCGTACCTGCACAACAGCTGCAGGATGGCCTGGGAGATGCCACGGGGGCAAGAAGGGCAGATTCGTGGCATTTCATCTTGTATGACTGTGTACTCAGGCCACCACACTTGATGCTAGTGAGGCTGCCAATGGGCTCGTGTTACTAAACCACGGCCAGTCGTCAGGTGCTGTGTGTGCGTGTGTGCATGTGTGTGTACCTGTGTGTACATATCTGTACGTGTGTATGTGTGCATGAGTGTGCATAGGCACACGTGTATTTGTGAATATGTGCGTATGCGTGCATGTGTGCAAGTATGCGTATGTGTCTATACTTGTGAGCATGCATGTTTATCTGCACGCATGTCTATGTGCATGCATGTCTGTGTATGTGTAAGCCTGTGCACGTGCCTGTATGTGTGCGTGCATGTATGTAAGCCTGTGCAGTGCCTGTATGTGTGCATGTGAGCGTGTGCACGTGTATGCGTGCATGCATCTGTATGTGTGAGCACGTGCACGTGTCTGTATGTGTGCAAGCATGTGTGTGCACGTGTATGTGTGCATGTGTATCTTCGTGTGTATACATGAGCATGTGCATATGTGCCTGTATGTGTGCATGCATGTCTGAGCACGTGCACGTGTGTATGAGTGCATGCATGTATGTGTGAGCGTGTGCACGTGTGCATGTATGTCTGTGTGAGCATGTGCACGTGCCTGTATGTGTGCACACACGTCTTTGTGTGTAGACGTGAGCACGTGCACGTGCCTGTATGTGTGCACTCATGTCTTCGTGTGTATACGTGAGCATGTGCACGTTGTATGTGTGCATGTCTTCGTGTACGTGTGAGCACATGCACGTGTCTGTTTATGCCATGTGTGTATGTGAGCATGTGCACGTGTCTGTGTGCATGTCTTTGTGTATGTGTGAGCACGTGCACGTCTGCATAAATGTCTATGTGTGAGCATGTGCACGTGTCTGTGCACACACATCTTCGTGTATGTGTGAGCACGTGCACGTGTCTGTGGATAAATGTCTGTACATGTGAGCATGTTCACATGTGTCTGTGTGCACGTCTCCGTGTGCGTGTGAGCATGTGCACATGTGTATGTGTGCATGCATGTCTTCGTGTGTATACGTGTGAGCATGTGCACATGTATGTGTGCACACATCTTGTGTATGTGAGCACATGCACGTGTGTATGTGTGCACGCGTATGTGTGAGCATGTGCACGTGTGTACATGTGAGCACGTGCACATGTGTCTGTGTGAATGCGTGCGTGTGTGTGTACATGTGAGATCAGAGATCAGAGGAAGAGCAGCCAGCTAACCTAAAAAGCCACCTGAAAGCTGGCACAGCCTGATGTGCAGCGGTGGGGAGGAGGTGACCGCTGACCGGCCTCCCACCTCCTCCCTCTCCTCCCCCTCCTCTCTCTCCTTTCCCAGCATGGGCCAGCTCAAGCTCTAGGTCAGGTGAGAAACGGCCAGGAGAGCCTAAAATCAAGGATGTGCCCTCCAAGGCCTGGCAGCCTTGCTGGTGTCACCATTCCCACTCCGTGTCCTCCGCTGCCCCCGTGTTCCCTCTGCCCACGCAAACTCCCCGCCCCTCTGCAGGGCTGGTGCCGGTGCTTCCCTCAGAGTCGGCGAGCACAGGCTCACGAGGGGTGAGCCTGCTCTGTGGGGAGGTGATGGGGAGCTCTGTCACTACCCATTTGCCAAATCTACAGACCCACACCAACACAAGGAGTAAACCCTAATGGCAACTAGGGACTTTTGTTCGTAATAATGTATCAATATTGGCTCATTAATTGTAACAAATTACCACACCAATACAAGATATGAACAGTGGGGGAAACTACAGGGAAGAAGTGGATTCAAGTGGTAGATGTGGGTGGGCTGGGGGCATAGAACTGTCGCTCTATCTGCTCCATTATTCTGTAAATTTAAAACCACTTTCAAAAAAACCCAACAGGATTAGCATTCTCTCACAAAGAATACACTACCATTTTGGAATCTTAAAATGTAAATGGTCTGTATAGAAGCCTGTAAAAATTTTCATTATTATTTTGCATTTGTTTATTAATAAAAGGGAACTAAACTAAAAAAAAAAAAAAAAAAAGGCTTGCCTCTCTGGATTAGATCAGGTTCTCCAAAAGCAGAGCCCAAAACCAGGGTTCAGGTGCACGGGACTTCTGGAAGACGTGCTTTCAGGAGAAAGGAAGGGAGGCAGGCAGGATAGGGTGAGGGTGGGAGCCAGCAAGGTGAGGACATGGCCTTGGCTTTGGCCTGATCCATGAAGAGCTCTGATCCCACCCTGCCAGGAGCCAGCCTTTGTTCCCCTGTGTGGGTCACCACTGGCTGAAGCTGCCACCGTACGCAACTCTCCAGGCAAGGCAGGTGAGGGGAGGTCTTGGTGAAGGGGCCATCAAGGAGCTCTTAGCAGCAAAACTCAGCAGCTGGGGCATGGGAGCACTAACCCAGTAAAGGGGGGCTGAGCAGGGTATCTGCCGCATCCCCTGCATTCTCTATGAAGCTATCTGTTAAGAGGACCAACTGTCTGGGTTTGCCAGGGACGGAGGCTTCCCGGGACGCAGGACTTTTACTGAAAGCATGACAGTACCAAGCAAACCGGCTGGTTACCCTATTTGTACTGTCTCCACCTGGGAACTAGCTCATCACACTTTGTTTCCTCTAATATTAATAGTAATGATAATAATTAATATTTATTGAACATTTCCTCTAGGTCAGGCACTGGGCTAAGTGCTTTATCTTCGGTCGATCATTTAATAGCAGAGTGCTTGGAGGAGGCACTGGGATATCCCCATTTCACACACAAGGACAGGGCTAAGGAAGGTTGCCAACTTGCCCAAGGTCACACGGCTACTAAGTGTCAGAGCTGTTAATTTGAACCTGGGTCCCTCTGACCCAGACTTGAGCAGTGAACTCTAGCACACACTGCCCTATAGCAAAATTGCCTGACACTCTCTCTTTAGGACAGGGAGCCTGACTTTCTCCTGCATTCTCCAGCCCCCCCAACACTTGGCACAGAGGGGACGCTCCCTAACCGTGGAGACAGAATACATTTCAGCTCGCTCACCTGCATCGCCAATCCCAGCCCCTCCCCCCAGAGATTCCAACCAGAAGCTGGAAGGGGTTGAAGGAATGGAGTGAAACCTTTTTATTTTTTTAATTAAAAATTTTTTTTTTAAGATTTATTTATTTACTTTAGAGAGAGAGAGCTAGAGAGCAGAGGCAGGAGAAGAGGGAGGAGAGAGAATCCTCGAGCAGACTCCCCACTGAGGACAGAGCCAGATGCGGGGACCCTGAGATCATGACCTAAGGTAAAATCAAGAGTCGGACGCTTAACCGACTGAACCACCCAGGCACCCTGAAGCCTCCTTTTTAATGACAGTCCAGACAACTCAGTTGGGCAGGTTTTTCTCTCTTGTACCTGAGCAATTTGGGAGATTCAAGGAGCGTCATAAGCTGGGGGTGGGTTTTGTCATCAGAGGACTTTGGTTCGAGTCCTAGGTCTGACACCCCTTACCAGTGTCACCCTGGGCAATTTTCTTCACCTCCCCAGGCCTCAATTCCCACATCTGTAGAATGGAGTTATTCAATTCCCACATCTGTAAAATGGGGTTAAAATCATGAGAACCTTGCTCATAAGATCGTGTGTAAGAATTAAGTAAGTTCATAGCTCATTTATTTAACAGGTTGAACACTTATTATGCACCAGGCATAATATAATCATATATAAACAAATCCTTTCCATAGTCTGGTGGGGTAGGGACTCTTTATTGTTCCCATTTTATTGATGAGGAAAATGAGGCACAGAGGGAAGTGACTTGCCCCAGTGGTCTTAGCAGCTTGGCTACAGAATCTGTGTCCTTGCCAGTGTGCCAGGCTAGACATTAGAAGCCGAGGCCAAGCCCTGCGGTCTTTGGTGACTAGACGCTCTGGCACCTTCCCGCCACCCCCACTTCGTGGGCGGCCCTGCCCACAGGCCCCAGAGCTGTGCTCCCTGGGCCCAACGAGACCTCTCGAAGCTCCCCCTGTGGGTCCCACGCCCGCCTTTACCTGAGTTGGCCAGAGCCAGGGCCTTGAGCGTCACAAACTCCTCTTTCTCCACCTTGAGCTTCTTGTACCTGCGCACCAGCTGCAGGATGGCCCGGTGGAGCTCCGACAGCCCCGCGAGGCGGGAGTGCTCCTCGTCCATGACGTAATCCTCGGCGTACACCAACTTGTCGTCATAGGGCTGCGAGCGATACGCGATGCCCAGGATGAGTATCTCCATCCAGGCGCTCTGCAGCAGGCTCATCTGGTCCCCAAGAGACAGGCTCGAGAAGCCTGCGGGAAGAAGGGGCAAGGGGGGCAGCGGCAGTCAGGTGGGCTGGTTGGAGGTGGTGGTCCTGGGCCCCTCCGGGTCTCGCCCCTCCCTCTGCGCCCGCTGGACTCCTTGTCCTCCCCTCGGTCAGTGAGTCAGACGGGGCGTCCGCGGGAGAGACTGACACAACAGGAGCTCAGTCAATGTTGACAGTTGTTAACACTATTACCGTTAGTTCTATGCCTTTTGCGAACGTCTGTAGAAGGTTTTTGATTAATTAAATGCATCTGTAATTTAAGGAGTTATTAAATTCATAGTAGAATCGAAAGGCAGCAGCACAAGGCCCTCTCCCCCGGGGCACTTTCCAGATTCCTCTCTCTCTGCTCAACCAGGGGAGGTTTTGGTGTTTTGAAGCAACACCTGATCCTCAGTGCAGCGTCTCAGTCGTGTGTGTTGACCCAATGGCCCCACCAGGGAGGGCTCAGCTGTCCCCAGCCAGTGATGACCCCCCACCCCGCCAGTGACCACAGCCTGGGGCTAAGGGCTCAAGAGCCTCCAGGGTCAGAGGGCACTTTCTCACAGGCAGCCTGTCCTCCAGGGCTCAGACCCCTGCTGCCCTGGCCATCACTCTCCACCTAACAATGACCCAAGCTGTCCTGCATTCTGTGAGCTTAGAATTGCGGGAGTTTCCCCCTCCTTGCTAGCAAGGATGCTGACTCCAGAGCGAAAGGAGGTCAGCAATGGGGATGGCTCCGGAATTATGTCACCGTCTTGTCCGACGTGCTGGGGGTATTGCCTGGGCCTGAATCCTGACTTCCCCTTTCCTAGCTGTAGGCTGACCATGTGAAAGCTGTGTTAACTGCCCCCAAACTTCAGTGTCCTCTTCTATGAAATGGGTAGAACCGTAGCACCCGCTTCCGACTCGCGTCAAGGTCGAAATGAGACAATGATTGTGGAATATACACTGTGTTCACTGAGCTCGTACCATTGTTATTGATGATGAGGTGAAAAGTCTTCAGCTACGAAATGAGAATGGTATCTGGAATTGCATTATACCTGTACTTGACTTAGGCACGAACAATTAACATCTTGACTTGAGAGGGAGGGTAGAGAAAAAGTAGGCGAGGGAGGAGGAGGAGGAGGAGGGAGGAGGAGGGGGAGGGAGGAGGAGGGGGAGGGAGGAAGTTGATTTTCAAACATCCCAGTCACTAAACACAAGGTGATAACTTCAGCCAGAGACTCAGCGATTGGCCGCCGCACTGACCATATGCCAGACTAAAGGAAAGAACGAGCATCCACAAAGCCCTTTGCACCACGCGTCACGGGCAACTAGAAGGAGGGGATTTCTGGGGGTGAGTTTGCCTATGTGGGTGGGCCTCTACTTCACTTGCTGACCTGGCACCTCACCCTTTGTGGGCACAGCACAGATATGGGGGCTTCGAGGATAAAAAAGGTGGTGCACGGACAGCGCCCAGCTCCCCTCCCCACACCGTCGGCACCCAGCGAGACTGAGCAAGGGTGATGCCGGAGGTGGTCGTTACTATTACTGTTTCTGTTATTAGCGTGCCGTCGGCATGACTCTCCCCTCCCTTCCGGGCATGGCCAGAGGCCTGGGGTGGTCCCGAGCTTCTGGACGGGCCTATCGCTCTGGGTTTCCATGGAGTTTGTCCTACTCTCCCCTGCTGTCCCCTGACTTTAAACCCCATTGTCCCCCTTCCACCCAGCACACGATGTTCAACTTTAGGGGGCACTCCAGGGTGGAAGCCCCTTCACTGGGCGGGTCCCCCTCTGCTGGGGGACATCCGCTCAGTCCAGTCGTCATGGCTCCTGAATGCGATCTGTACACCCCTGGCCTTGGCTCATCACCTGGCTGCCGGCATCCGCGGGTGACTGACGAACGGCTGGGCAATGACACCGGCAGACAGGGGCGGGCCTGGACCGATGCGCCTCTTCGGGGAGAGGCTGTGGCACTAGGGGGCCAGGTGCGTGCGTGTTGTCTAGATCCCGGCACGCAAGGGGGTGTGTGGCAGCCTGTGGCAGCCGGGACAGCCGGGAGGTAATAAAAGGCAGATAGGATGGACATCCAATTTCCCTTATCGGGCCTCTGAGCGGGAGAGGCCTTGGGCGACATTAATGAACAGATCCCAATCAGCCGGCTCATGAGGGTGTGTGCACATGGGGACGTGGGGGGCTGCACCGGAAGCAGACAGACCGGGAGGGAAGATGTTGCAGGCGGAGGGGGCGAAATTGACAGACAATTGAATCGGAAGATGACAAAAAGGGAGGGGAGGGAGGAGAGGGGCTTCTGGAAAGGAAGGAGGAAAGACCCCCATGAGGCCCATCACGCAGATACCATCCCTAGAGTCAACAGCGTGCTTCTGTCTCTTCATTCGTTCCTCAAATCCTCACCGGGCACCCGCTAAAGCACCAGGCACGGTGGACACAACGGCGAGCTCGAACCAGAAGGTCCCCGTGTGCAAAAGCTCTCAGTCAAGAGGCAAAGGCACGCCCTGAGCCCCGAGCTCTGCTGGGCTCTCACGGTTAGACGGTTAGGACAATTCAAAGGGCCAGAGAGATGGAGGGGCTCTGAGAACACACCATGGGCCAATGTGGCCCAAGCGGGAAAGTGTGGGAGGCTGAGCCCCGAAGGGTGAGGAGCTCCCAAGGGGGTGTTGAGGGTGCTGCCGGTGAGCACACCGGGTGGGGGGGGGGGGGGGGGTTTTGCCGGGATGGGCTGCCCTGTGCTGCCCATCTTCCTGCCCCTGCTGCCCAGCACCCAGCCTGGGAGAAAGAAGATGCCCAGTGCATATTCCTAGCAGAGTCGAATGAACAAATGTCACTGGGCCCTGACTCCTGGGTGACAAGAAAATGAACCCACAAAGAACTCCGTGAGACCCTCTCCATCCTTTAGACACAAGCTCAGATTTCGCTGCCTCTGCCCCTCGTGTACAAGCTAGAAACAGGCCTGCCCTCTGGGGGAAGCGCAGAGCAGGTGGTGGGAGGAAGCGAAAGGGCGCCTCTGAGAGTCTGTGGCTCCCTCCAAGGCTAGCCCTCTCTGCTGGTGGACCCAGCCCTGACTTCTCTCCTCCTCCTTCAAAAGGAGCTGGAAGGCGCTTTGGAAATCCAAATGTCCTCCCCAAAGTGCTGAATGCTATACACAGGCTGCTTCACTTTGTGCAAGGTAGGGGAGAAATATGTGCTATGGTCTCATATTTGAAAGAGCCCAAATATTTTCTAGTACCTGAAAAAAGAAAACACTAGAAGGGAAAATGAAAAATAACAGCTCTAGGAGAAGGGAGGGGAGGCGATGGAGGGCAGGAGGGGGAGAGGGATGGAGGGGAGGGTTTTGTGGGCACATTTTTATCTAGTTTTGGCTTTTGAACCTGTCCCTACTTATGTTCCCAAAATAAAACTAAATCAAGCATAAAACAAAAGGCTTGCTCCCTTCAACCTAGCAAGTCCACCGCTAGGAATTTCTCCTGTAAACACAGAGATAAATGGGCAAGGGTGTTTGTTAGATGAGTCTGTAATGACCCCAACCAGGAAAACAACCTAAATGTAACTAATGTGATACATGTAATTACTATATAAATGTAATTATTAGCTAAGTGAATGGCACATCAGAAGCCACCAGAAAGAATGAGGTAGAACTGTTTTTGTGGGTGGGGGAAGACACCCAGGAGCGTAGGAAGACATAACTATTAAGGGCAGAGACACCAGAGCCAGACTGTCTGTTGGAATCCTAGCTCTGCTGGCCACTGGCTGTGACCCTGGGTATGTCCACTTCTCTGTGACTCAGTTTCTTCCTCTGTACAATGGGAATAATAACAACAATACTTCCCTCATGGGACTATGGGGATGAAATGAGCTACTGTGTGGAACACTTAGTACAGTGCCTAGCACCAGGGACGTGCTACTATGTTTTCGGAAAGGAGCAGATGTAAAGCAGTGTCAAAGAACGGTCCTACGGTGGGGGAAGAACACATGTGTGTGCCCATGCACACACAGACGCACACAATGGCTATATATGCACAGAAAATTCCCAGACGGATGTTTAAGAAATAATATCCATCCCTCTGTCACATCTGACATCTTTACTAGAAGCACACATTATTTAAACCCAAAAGAAGGGCTGAAGCACTCCTCCCTGCCCTTCAGCCAAGCACCCTCCACTCCTGCTCTTCTCTGTTGGGCTGGGTCTCCTCCTCCATCAAGCATTCAGCAATTCTGGGCCGCGGCTTGCTGCTGAGAGAGGCTGGTGTGGCCCAGGCCCCTGGGCATCTCGCACTGCCCCCTTGAGGTCCTGCCCTGCCCAAGCTAGCTGCCCCTGCCCATCTCCCGAGGTCTCCCACTTGGAGCTCTGCTGCCCTCCCCCCCCAAAGCTGCTTTATGTGCACCAACTGATCTGATAACATTCGGGCTTGTCCCAAGCCCCCATCCCCCAGAGATCATGAGCTCCTAGAATTTAAGAAAAAAAAAAAAAAAAGAGAGAGAGAGAGCACGTAATTTGTGGCAAGTGGAGTTCATAATCTGTTAATTTATTATCGTTTCTGCCGACCCGGAGGGCCATTAGCAGCGGTAATAAAGGGAGATGTAATTATGGGATCTGAGGCCACTCCAGACGCAGCTGCTGTCACTCGGCAGCTCATATTTCACTGGCCGTTGGCGTTCTCCCCCAGCGGGAGCCAGACAGCGGCTACCTGGGAGCGGGGCCGCTGAGGAACCCTCCGTGGGAGGCGTCTGGGGACTCCCCTGCAGAGCTGTGCACCTGTCAGCCTGGGCCGGGCAGGGCCGGCAGGAGAGGGCCTGGGCTGGGGCAGCCTCCGGGCCGCCTGGGGTGGCGGGATAACCGGCTAGTAACGTCTGGAGGGTGCAGGTCTTCAAGGGATACCCGCTGCCTCTGGGGCGCACATGTCACTCACGGGGAACATGACGGGGAATCTAAAGACCTGGGCTCATCCCCTGAGCAATGCAGGACTTGGTAAATTCACTCAAGGTAAACGTGTGAGTGCGGCGTAGGGCAACTGTGGACGGACTCGAACGAACGGCCGCTCTTCTGAGTCGCCATCAGCCCCAGTTCCCCACAGAAGACACCTGTGGGACAGTGTCCTATGTGCTCAAAAATAGGAGTGACAGGAGCGGGGCTGCTGGGAAATGAGTGTGTGCATAGATGATCCTTCCTCCTGGCCACGCTGGTCCCTCAGTGCCCATGTGCATAGGTCAGCTTCTGGGCTCAGCCTGAAAACTTGCGTTCACGACGCCCTGATGCCCTCCTGATGCCATCGTCCTGAAGGCCTAGCTCAGGTTCCACTCTCTGCCCCTGCCGCCCCTGGCGTCCCTCCTGCCTGGGGACCCTGTCCTGTGGTCTTCCTGCTGCATTCTAAGTGTGTGGGACAGGAGATGGCAAACAGCGTAGAGGTGAAGCAAGATGGGCCATGGGGTGATAGCGCTAAGCAGCATTCACGGAGGTTCCTGATACCATCTGGTCTCTTCTTATATGTTTAGAATTTTCCATGAAAAAGTATTTTGTTTTTTAAAACAATTATCCATCTTATTCCCAAATGAGATCCTTGGGGCAGAAGTTAATCGAATTCTTTGTATCAGCCCCACCTCCTAACAAGAGACCTTACATATAGTTCATGCTCAATAAATGCATGCAAAGGCAAGTAATGAAGTGCCCTCTGTGTGCCAGGCTCTGAACAGATACTGACAGGCTAGCCCATAATGAGCCATGGGATACGGTTTCCTGTGCTTAAGTTAAGTGGGCTGCGCGCTAACCTGAGCCGCCTTAAGGACCGAGTCCCTCTGTGGTCCAGGGCAGGTTGGGAAGGAGCTGACAGCAGTCCCGGGGGGGCCCTGGCTTGCACCTACCCTGCTAAACCTGCTCTTTCTGGCTCTCTCTCTCCCTCTCTTAAGGGCTAGTGAGCAGGTCTGCAGGTGAGTTTTCTGTCTAATCTGAGATGGAATTAAGTCGATTAGTTTAAATGTATCAGGCACTTGATATGTCATTGCCCCTATTATGAGGTTTACATACAGTGGCAGAAGACTCTTAATTAATTTTACCTTAAACACTAGAAGGTCAGGCCCAAATAATTCAGCATGCAAATGTATGCAAAATAGGCAAATTAGTGTTTCAGACAGACAAATGAGTCCCTATGTTTATTTTATTTTTTAATCAAAAAGAATTCAGCTTTGGACAAGGGAAAATGAAGATGGGCAAGGAGGCTTTTCATACTATTAGCAAAGACAATGACACGGTCACGGTCCCGCCACTTATCAAGCACCGACTGTGTGCGAGGGCTGGACTGAGTATGCTGGACCCTCTATTACGGGTTCACAGGCAAGGACACTGAAGCTCAGAAAAATGAGATCCCCTGCAAGGCCCTTAAGAACAGAGCTGGCATCAGAGCTCAGGTTGGCCTGAATCCAAAGTCTGTGCCCCTAACAACCACTCTGCTCTGCCCACCGCCCTCTTGGTGGGCACCGACGGGAGATGGAGCTGAGGGGCAGGAAGACGTGGGGGAAGAGTGGGTGCAAGGGAGACAGCGCCTCCTGGTTCCACGCCTCCCCTCAGAGGGGACTGGTGGCAGAAGGAAGCAGTGACCTGGGGGGCCCGCCAGGAGCCACTCCTGAGCCATTGCTGGGCTGCAGGGGAGGAGGAGCATGTGATGCTGGGGAGGGGAAGGGCAGGGGGAGCTGTACCAGATCTGGCCCTGGGTTAGTGGAGCAATCCAGGCTGAGGTGTCTTAAGCAGTGGCTTGACCCCACATCTGTGCTGAATCAGCACAGGCCAGATTCAAAACTACAGAGTGTGTCATCCCAAGAGGCTGAGCTCCTTAGTAAGGGCGCTCCAGCTCAGATCCCCCGTGAGCCCACCCTCAGTCAGAATACCAGGGGCCACCAGGGAATCCCTATGGAAGGAATTCTGTGTCCTGCCAGCTAAGTGACACCAGCATCACCTCCTGAGCCCCGGTCTGCAGGAAGACTCCTTCCTGGAGGCTGTGCACACATGTCTTATATACCTTCTGACTCACCCCAATCGACTGCAGGCCTCGGCATCTAAAGTCTAGGCCACCTCTACTACATCACCATGCATGCTGGATACATTTTTCAGAGCTGGCGGCAAACACGAAAAGGATCTATAGACAGGAAGATAAACTGCCCCATGTCACAGAGCTAGTAAGAATCCAAGTCCACAGTGGATCATTGCCAGAGGAAAACAGGATGTCCCCACCACACCACAAGACAAGCTGTTAGAACCGACAAGGAATAAACCACAGAGGCTTTGGAAAACTCCCCAACATGTGCGTAATGCACCATATGTGGGTATCGGTGTCTACAAAAATAAAACTAAAAATCAGTTTCCACCATTTATCCAGAAGGAGGGAGCTGAAAGACAGGTTTGGGCCACATGCGGTGAATGAAGTCCGTATCACCCGGAGCATATTCATTACATGTATTCTCCGTACCACCCTCACCATCAGGCATGTGGCAACAGTGAGTCTGCAGCAAACACCAGCATCCTCTGTACAGCACATTCATACTTGCAGCTTACCCTCATCGAAGCCCACAAAGGAAGCACTGCTGTTATTCCCTGTTCACGGAGGGCTCGCCCGCTCAAGGTGACACCGCTAGTAAGCTGCAGACCCAGAACTTGAATCCCAGTCCCATTCCCCAGCCCGTGTTCTTAACCACTCCAGTCCACTGGCCTCTAAAGGAAGCAAGAGACTCAATTCTCTCCTGCCTTGTTTCCTAGCGCATTTCCAATAAGGTCTATGAGAAAACCCTTCTTTGGCCTTCAAGGAGTCAAAAAAACTTGCTCTTTGAATCTTAACCTAGTGTAGATGCAATCATCACCCCTCTAGAATGATAAGTGGTTCCGAAGAGCCGCTAGAGGTTCAAGAGCATTACTGGACCTTCCCACACCTGCTCACCTCCAATCCCACAAGGAGAGAAAAGGAGCCCAGAAGAAAACATGGCTCCCGGGTACCCGGCTCCCAGGCGTCAGGACCATGGCTGTGGGGACAGTGGTGGAGCATCCCTGGCTCCACCCTCCTCCTGGCCCTACGTGACTCACCTGGGATGTGCTTGGCCCAGCCGATGATGACCACGAGCTCCCTGTCTGCCAGGTCACAGAGAGTGGTCAGAGCCTTGATGTCGCCCTCGGGCATGCCAGGGGGAGGCATGGCGTACAGCTTGTCCGGCTCGGCCACCAGCAGGTAGGAGACGATCTTGGTCACTGCCAACGACCAGAGGAGGAATGTAAATGTTGGGGAAAAGAGGAAGGGGCCAGGGTGGAGCCTGGGATGGCTCAGGAAGAAAATCTGGGTTCTGGGGAGTCCCAGCAGGTCATCTCCCCTCCCTCTCTGACTCCACAACTTGCTGGCAGTGGTGATTTGGGTTCTTGACAAATATCCCTCCAAGTTCCGGAAGCTGCTGGTGAATTCTCTCAAGAGGACCCTGCTTTGAGTGGGAGGTGAGGGGGGCATGTTCTGGATGCTGGGGCTCATGCCTTCGTAGGATCATGCTTCACTCGGAGCCATATCCCACATGGAAAGGCCTAAATAAAGCCGGAAGCACCCAACACCAAGCCAGGCACTGAGGCCACCTCCCCAAGATGCACACTGTCCCAGACCCAGCAGTGGAAAGGTGGCATTGCCCCCAAGGGATGCCAGACATTCCAGGCATGGATGCAGGCAGAAGGGGCATGGGCCACCCTGGCACTCACATGGCTTCTTAGCGGGCGGAGAAATCTGTAAGCTCAGGTATGGGCTGCTCTCAGAGTCCAGCCGTCGTTTGTATTTCTGGCGGCCTCCACGCACTCGGTCAAGGCGCACACCTATGGGGGAGGGAATGGGAAAGGTGTCAGGCTGTCCAACATCAGGGGTGTTAGCACTAGTTCTGGCGTTTCAACACTGGCTTTGGCCCCCAGACTCAATGCCTTTCCAGCTGCCCTGGGGCCAGCCTCAGGCCAGGGAGTCGGACAATCCTCACTCAACTGTCTTAATGGCAACAGCCCACCCCAGCTGCCCTGGGCCAGGCCCCGCCTCTGGGCTCAGCATCCTCCTGAAATCTATCCCGAGCAAGCTTCAGCTCCTGTCTTTCTGTCTCCAAAGGGAAAATACAACAGAAGCTCTCCTCTAGGTGTTGGGAAAGGGAGACTCCTTATTGTAGATCTGCTGGGAATCCAGGGAGTGTTGAGTTAGCTTGTGAGAGAGGAAAGGAATCTCTGCCTCTAGCAGGCACCTCAAAAAGAATGAAAACAAGAATTTTCTAACTTTTTACATAAGCAGCATTGGGATGGGGGTTCATGACAAGTGGCAATTTCTGGATCCCACCTTCCAGGACTGTAGGATGACATTCTACAGTCTGTCTTCTAGAACAGAGGGAGGGTGAGGATTGGTCAGGGTGGCAGGAGTACCCTCAGAAGCAGAGGAATGGTCAGCCCTGGGCCAGACGCTCCTGGATGGGGATGCAGGTGAGGTGGTCCTGGCCACACCTGGAAAACGAATACCTGAGTCTCCCAGTAGCAGGTGCAAAAGCAGGTGTGGCCATGCCACACTAACATCCCTCCCCAGGAGTGAGGCCCTCTCCTAGAGAGATCTGCTATTTCCCTGGGTCTGTATGGCCTTCCAGAAACCCACCCCACCCCTCAGCTCCTGCTGTCTAGACAGACATGTTGGTACCATCTGACACGCCTAACCAGCCTGCAGGGTAGACAGGACCTCAAATGGGCTCCTCACCCAAAGGCACACGAGCTTAGACTGGCTACCGATCTATGTGGCCTGGCCTGAGAAACAGGTGGGACCCAACAAATTAGCTCCCAGGTATGAAGGAGCACAGGAAGTAGAGCAGCTGGTTCCCTTTTCCTTACCATGAAACAGGCCTTGACTGAAACACATAAAAAGCCAGACACAGAGCCGGAGTCCTGAGAGGAGACCTCCAAGGTGACAGGCCCAGTTCAACGTTGTCTTCCTTTTTCCCCCAAAGGTCAACACATCACCCTTACGGAGCCCCAGCAGTTGATGTTCATTCAGGGCCCCGTCCGGCACTTTCCCCCGGGCACCTCCTCCTGCCTGTCCTCCCAGTGTGGTGGGGGCGGCCGCCAGTCCTGCGGTCCTGTTGGGTCAGGCCCTTCTTGCTTGGGGAGAGGCAGGAGGAAGGCAGGAATAACGGTAACTCAATGGCACAAGGACTTGGATCCCATTCATGCCAGGGGTGATTTTCTGGCTGCTTCTTAGAATGTACAGCTAGTCCATTCAGTGTCTGGGACCAGAGAGGAGTCCCCTAGGGCAATGAGGGCCACTGAAAGTAAAATCACTTTGTCTACTGAATGGGAGGGACCAGCCCTTCAACTGCTAATTGCCCTAAAGGAACTTGGGGTGAGGAGTGCCTCCAGGTAGGGGCTCAGGCCACCTCCTCCTCCAGGGCCACCAAACCAGACGGCCCAAGGGGACGGTCTCTTCGAGGCCAGTCACTGCTCAGCATTTCCGTCAGCAGTGTCCCTTTTTACCCCCCAGACCGACACTCCTATACTTGATGCTGGACATGGCTGCAGGGAACATTTTGGGGGCGAGAGAGTCAACCCAGCATCCCACGCCTGCTTCCTATGTAAGTAACTCCCCTATTGTGAGTCCTCTCAGAGGAGGCCTGTGCCCACCCCCAGTCTGGATATCCAAGTGGGGCAGGTCCTCCTGCTCGCCCCCGTCTGGAGGTCGAAGCATGGTCTGGTGACACAGGCCCAGTCGACAGGAGTCTTTGATCAAATGCCACGTGGTCAGGGCAGCAGGGGTGTGGGCAGCCCCTGGCTACTGCTCATCTCCTGCGCCTGGGCTTCCCCAGGCCTCCCCTGGCCCTTGTCTGGCTTCTCAGTGTGTTCCTGGAGCCTCCTGAGAAGCTTCCAGTGAACTCCCCTTCTGCTCTGAGGGGCGGAAGGGATTGCAACTGACCATACTCGCACTTGGGTTCTCCAAAACCAGACATCGGGAAGAAAGCCAGTAACAAGTGCGTTCCTGATTAGGTGAGCAGGCTCCTGCTGTCAGCCACTGAGCCTCAGCCTCACTGAGGAACCCCGGGAGACAGGGTAGGACACGCCCCAATGATCTCCTGCTGCAGATGAGGGCCTCGGGGCATTTAGCCACCTCACGGGGCAGGGCCCAGCCAAGCAGGCTCCGGTGCCCACAGAAAGCCCCAGGCAGAGCGGCACCTCACAAGGTAGCACTTCAGTCAGCATGCATGTGACAGAGTGCTGAGTGAATGCAGGCAAGACACCGGCTGGCTGCCACCCTCCTTCTCAAAGGGTGGTCCACGGCCAGGCATCATCTGGAAGCGTGTCTGAAATGCAAAAATCTCAGGCCGCCCCCTAGGAATCTGAGTCAGCATGCTGACAAGGTGACTCAAGGCATGGAGGCTCTGAGAGTTTGGGAAAGGCTGCACTTCAGCATCCGAGTGGACTCGCCGGGCCTCGGACCTTGAAGGGGACAGCGGAGGCCCATCCCACGCAGGACCTAAACCCACGCCCTGGGAGGACTTTGGCTCCCACCCTCCACCCTTCCTGGCCCCTCAGTGAGGGCAGAAGGAGCAGCCCCACCAAGGCAGGAAGGATGGCTCCTCCCTTGAAGGTTTTTGGGGCAAAGTTCCCTGTTTTCCTGACCCCCTCCTATGATCCCGCTACAAAGCAGCTCACCCCTGCCTGCGACACTGGAGGTGAGCCAAACCCTCAACCAAGCTCTGCTTTTTCTTGAAAAGCTGGTAAGACTAAAAGCGAAAATGCCGAGCTTCATTCACACAGGATGATGAGGACGCCCATTTCCTGTGCACCTACTATGCGCCCGGATCTGACCGGAGTCCAGGAGGAGCCCCTCCCCCACTTCTCGGACTTTCTCTCCTGGAAGCCAGTCTCACGAGCTCACCCCTTCCACCCGGCCTGCCTGACCGCAGAAGCAGGAAATGCTCAACAAAACAAAGAAAGAGGCAGCCGTCCCTTAGCAAGGTAAGGAGATGGACACTTGCCACTTCGGTCACTACTTCCATATGCAATGTTCTCTGTCCTGACACGGGGCCTGGCCCTTAGTGGGTGTTCAAGAAAGTCTTGATGCATATAGGAATGGATGAGTCTCCTGCCCCCAGACCCCCAGGAGGGCTGGGTGCTTCTTCCAGGACTCCAATAGCCCCCTGGCTTCCCCTACTGACCAGGTGCCCCTGTTCTCCGTCCCATTATTCCATGGTCTGCCATGGCGCCCAATGCCCAGCAGATGCTTAGAAAACTGGAGCTGTTACTAACGTCATCCCCATTATTATTACTACTCTTCCCGACACTATGTACATGTCTCTGTTAAGTCACAGAACAATCATTTAGCGGCGCCTGGGTGGCTCAGTTGGTTAAGCGTCTGCCTTCAGCTCAGGTCATGATCGCAGGGTCCTGGGATTGAGCCCCACATCGGGCTCCCTGCTCAGCAGGGGAGTCTGCTTCTCCCTCTCCCTCTGCTCATGCTCACTCTACCAAATATACAAATAAAACCTTAAAAAAGATAAAAAGAACCACCATGAGAACAGCCTAATTCATGGAGGACTTTCTCTGTGTGTTGCCCTTTTTCATCTATAGCATATAAAGCCGGCACGATTATCCCCATTTTATAAATAAGAACCACTGAGGCTTGGGTGATTGAGTAATTTGCCCAATAAAGGAACCAGTACCCACACTCTTTGCTACTCCGGGGTACTGCCCCCCAGGGCCCTGAGGGTATAATTTTTCCTCTAAATTTTCTCCTTCAGATCTTCACAGGATGGTCCATGGCTCCAATCAATACACACACGCATCAATTATCAACTTACTCTGTTTTCTTAAGAAAAGTAGCCCGTTGGGTTTGATTATGCCCAAAATGATGCCTGACGTGAGCCAGGCTTGCCTCCTGGCTTCCTGCCAGGCCTCACCCCAACTACAAGCCCATAAGGGCTCCAGCCCATGGGATCCAACGGGCAAGGTCCCAGGCCCCTCTTGGCTCTTATGGCTCACGCAGCCTTGGCCCAGTTGGCTCTCACAGCCTTGGTCTCATCATCAGGTACGGGGGAGGGGGCAATGGTAACACTAACACTGTTCACTGAATATGGCTTTTGTGACAGTCGTGGGAAAATGCTTGGTAAATTAGCAGTGGCTCCAGTAGGCCAAGGGAGGCTGTCACTCCCACCACCACACAAGGTAGCATTCACGGGTACTTTATACACCACCTTGTGCTTGTTTCCCTCCTTTCCCAACCACTCTTCAATTCAGTGGGGTCTTAAGGGAAAGGGCCCACGTCAGCTCCGCTTTCTGAGCTCCCCTCCCCCCATACTGTCCCAGTCAGGTTTTACTCATGGTATTTAGGGTAGAGGAGTCCCCCAACCAGAGGCCCCCTTCCCATTGGCTGGGCCCCCACCTAAGTGATGTAGCCATATCCTTCTTACCCACACTGTTCCCAAAGGCCAATTAAGATCTGGATTCACCCTTGAAGGCCCAAGTCAAGTATTAGCTCTACTGAGAAGCCTTTCCAGACTCGCCCTAGCAGAGTTGGCCATGCCCTCCTTGGGATCCTTTTGCTCACTCTCTATTACAGAAACTATAGTCGAAACAGCAATTCTACACAATACACTGTGTGTTCATCCCCCCTGGTGGACTGTGGGTACCGCCTGGCCAAGAACTGTCTTTCATCTTTGTTGCCTAAGCTCAGCACCCAGCCCTTGGGAGGCAGCCAAGCGTCTGAGTAAAATGATGTACTGGTTCAAATGCAGCCTTCACACTTAGGAAACAAAAGAATCTTAGGGTCTGGCTGGTCCTTTCCCCTGCCTCCAGAAATTCACTCC